GAACGGGAACGTTTCCATCACCTGGGAATGTCCCGAGGACCTTCCGGGATCCCAAAAATCCCCGGAATTCCCCAAATCCGAGCTGACCCTGCGGATCCCCGACGACGCCGAACCCCGAATTTGTCTCTGTAACCTCAGCAACGCCGCGGGCTGGAGCGCGGCCTCGGCCCCGCTCACCTGCGCAGGTGATTTTTCCGTGGGAATTCCCCCCCAAAAAATCCGGGATTTTCCCGGTTTTAGAGGGCAGAAATGGGGGGGGAAAAATGCTGGGAAAATATTAGGGAAATGCGGTTTGCATAGGTGTGAAAGAGTTCATTTTAAATTTGGGTTTTGGGTGGAATAGATGTAATTTTATGTGGGAGTTCGGTGTAAAATCGAGATTTATTTTATATATAAAAAAATCCCGTTTCAATATAAAATATATACAGTTTATATATAAAATGCAACCTCGTTTTCACATCTTCAATCCGCAACAATTTCTCCATTTTTAAATTCCATACGGATTTGGAGATTCGGGGAATGGTTTGGGTGGGGAAGGGCCCTTCCATCCCGACTTGAGGGATGGAAATTCCAGGATTTTTGGGATTCCCTTTTCCAGGAATTCCAGGGAATTTCTGGCTCTGGGCAGCGCTGGGGGCGGGGCTGCTGCTGCTGCTGGCGCTGCTTGGGCTCTGCTGGAGGAGGAGGAGGAGGAGGAGGAGGAAGGAGAATACCCGGGAAGGTTTGTGGGGAACGGGGGAGCGGGAGGGACTGAGCCCAAAATTGGGGAATTTTAAACCAAAAATTTGGGAGTTCTGAGCCCAAAATTGTGGAATTTTAACCCAAAAATTTGGGAGTTCTGAGCCCAAAATTGGGGAATCTTAACCCAAAAATTTGGGAGTTCTGAGCCCAAAATTGGGGAATTTTAACCCAAAAATTTGGGAGTTCTGATCCAAAAATCGAGGAATTCTTATCCCAAAATTTGGGAGTTCTGAGCCCAGAATCCTGGAGTTTGGAACCTCAAAATCTGGGAATTCTGAGCCCAAACTGACCCTTGGACCCCCAAAATCTGGGAATTCTGATCCCACACTAACCCCCGGAATCTCTCCCTAAAATCTGGGAATTCTGGTCCCTTACTCAGCCTTGGAACCCCAAAATCTGGGAATTCTGACCCCAGGCCGGCCCTTGGAACCCTGATTTGGGAATCCAGGCCCACGGAAGCCCCAAATTTTGGGAATTGTGACCGCACAGATCCCCCCGGAGCCGCCGCGGGACCCCCGGAGCCGCCCCTGACGGTCTACGCCGAGGTGGGGGCGGGGAAACCGCGCCGGGACCCCGTGAGTGTCCAAAAATCCGGGAATGTTCATCCCAAAATCCGGGAATGTTCATCCCAAAAATCCGGGAATGATCATCCCAAAATCCGGGAATGTTCATTCCAAAATCCGGGAATGTTCATCCCAAAATCCGGGAATGTTCATCCCAAAAATCCGGGAATGTTCATTCCAAAAATCCGGGAATGTTCATCCCAAAAATCCGGGAATGATCATTCCCAAAATCCGGGAACGTTCATTCCCAAAATCCGGGAATGTTCATCCCAAAAATCCGGGAATGATCATCCCAAAATCCGGGAATGATCATCCCAAAAATCCGGGAATGTTCATCACAAAAATCCGGGAATGTTCATCCCAAAATCTGGGAATGATCATCCCAAAAATCCGGGAATGATCATTCCCAAAATCCGGGAACGTTCATTCCCAAAATCCGGGAACGTTCATCCCAAAAATCCGGGAATGTTCATTCCAAAATCCGGGAATGTTCATCCCAAAAATCCGGGAATGTTCATCCCAAAATCCGGGAATGTTCATTCCCAAAAATCCGGGAACGTTCATCCCAAAATCCGGGAATGTTCATCCCAAAAATCCGGGAATGATCATCCCAAAATCCGGGAATGTTCATCCCCAAAATCCGGGAATGTTCATCCCAAAAATCCGGGAATGTTCATCCCAAAATCCGGGAATGTTCATCCCCAAAATCCGGGAGTGTCCCCAAAATCCGGGAATGTTCATTCCCAAATCTGGGAGTGTCCATTCCCAAAAATCCGGGAACGTTCATTCCCAAAATCCGGGAGTGTCCCCAAAATCCGGGAATGATCATCCCCAAAATCCGGGAGTGTCCATTCCCAAAAATCCGGGAATGTCGGGCTTGGAAAAACCCTCCAAGGAAATTCCTTCAATTTGGGAATTTCGGGAATATCGGGAACCCAAATTGGATCCTATTTTTAAAAATTTATTTTTCAATAAATAAATTGTAAATCTTAATTTTTTTTTTTTTTTAATTTTTTGTTCTCCCAGCCCGGGACCAGCGAGGCCACCCAGGAAGGAGCCACCATCTACGCCGTGGTCACTCCCAGGACACTGGTAGGGTCATCCCAACTCCCAAAATCCCTTTTTATCCCAAAATTCGGGATTTTTTTGGGCCCATCCCCACCCTTTTTAATTTTTTTTATTTTTAATTCCCTGGCAGGAGCATCCCAGGAATCACAAGGAACTCGGGAATTTCACCATTTACTCCACGCTCCAGTCGGTGAGGCTGGTCCGGGGTGCTCCCAAATTTTTTGGGGACCCAAAATCCACATCCCCAATTTTTGGGGACCCAAAATCCACATCCCCAACACCAAATCCTTGTCCCAGATTTTTTGGGATCACCAAATTCATGTCCCCAATTTTTGGGATCACCAAATCCGTGTCCCAAACTTTAGGGAATCCAAATCCACGTCCCCAATTTTTGAGGAATCCAAATCCTTGTCCCCAAATTTTTTAGGGACACCAAATCCGTGCCCCCCAAGATTTTGGGATCATTCTCCCCCTTTTCCCAACTGGGATTTTTTCCTTTTTTTTTTTTTTTTTTCCCCCTCACAGCCTTCGTCCATGAAGAGGAAGAGGCTGGACCGGGCTCTGGTCTCCACTGCTTACCTGGAGGTGATGGAAAATTCCATGTGGGGTTTCTTTTGGGATCCAAAAAAATCCCCAAAATATCCTAAAATCCCAAAAAATATCCTAAATCCCCACAAATATCCTAAATCCCCAAAATATCCTAAAATCCCCAAAAATATCCTAAATCCCCCACAATATCCTAAATCCCTTTTCCCTTGTAGGATAATGGGGGTTACAGGCACTTGGATTTCCCAAATTCCAAGCGCCCCTAAAACCCCGGAATTCCCAGAATTCCCGGAATTCCCGTCCCTATGGAATTCTTCTTCTTCAAACTCAGGAATGTGAAGATCCAAAAATTTGGGGGTTTTTTTGTTTGTTTTGGGATTGGAGGGCGGGGGGGTGTTTAGGGTTTGGAAAGTTTGGGAATTAAAAAAAAAAAAATTAAATATTTTTTTTTGGTAAATACAGCTGGGCTGCACAATGAACTTGTTTGTTTTTGTTTTTATTTTTTTCCCCCTTTAGAATTTTCCTAAAAAATCCACCCCAAAATTCCCTTTAGGGTGGAAGAATTTCCCCTAAATCCCACCCAGAAAAAAACCAAACAAACCCAGGGAAGCGCCCAGAAGTTTCCCCTAATCACCCTCATTAACATCCAGGATTAATTAACACGTCCTTTTGTCCCCTTTTTCCCCTTTTATGTCCCTTTGTCCCAGTTTTTTGTCCCCCTTTTCCCTCCCTTTTCT